TTTCCTTTTAGCAAACAAAGTTATACTATCTGCATATTGCAGGTTGTTAATTAGTCTTCCTCCAATCTTGATGCCATGTTCTTCCTCATATAATACAGCTTCTCATAGCTATATCTGGATATTTTAAACAGTATAGAGCAAACCATATCACTTGGAAGAGAGTTTAGAAAACACAATTGCAAATTTTTATAAAATAAAATAATTAACAATGTCAGTATGTGCCACTATAAAGAAAATATTAAAGAGTATAATAACCTAATGGAATCCTGGAGTAGTGCTGTGGACTGTCAGCTGCAGGGTTGAAATCCACCAGCTGCTCCATGGAAACCCTATACAGAGTTGCTATGGCTCAGAATCAACTCAGTAGCACTTAACAACGACAACATAATAACCAAATAAGACAGCGCAGGTCATTTCAAAACCCAGAAGAGAACAAGATTAGGAACTAACATATATAATACCTCAAATAACTTCTTTCCTTTCTAAACACACAGACATATATACAAACCCAAATGAGGGGAAAACCCCTGAGATCATAGGCCCTACCCCCTTCGGTCTCCCAAATGCATTAACATTAATGTTTTAGAAAACATTGTTGTTGTTGTTGTTAAGTGCCGTCGAGTCGGTTCCGACCCATAGCGACCATGTACAGGGTTTCCAAGGGTGTAAATCTTTACGGGAGTAGAAAGCCTCATCTTTCTCCCGCGGAGCGGCTGGTAGTTTCGAACCGCTGATCGTAAGGTTCGCAACCCAATTAGAAAACATTAGAGTTACTTTAAAGAGCTAAGATAGTCCATTAAATGTTCCTGGAGGAGATTCTTATGCTGACATCTACAACATGAGATTACAGTGTATATATAGATCACTGTCATTCACAGGGCAGGCACATGACAAATATTCACTGAAATGAAGGCTGCACAAGGCACCACTGCAGCCCAAGACTCTAAATGTACTGGCATTCCAAGAACGTCACAAATAGCACACTAGTGACTTTTTTTTTTTTTAAGAAGGAGTATTGTGCGGTTTATAAAATTAATCTGAGAGGTATATCATTAAATTATAATGCTTGTAGCATTCTTATATTACTTTACAATCTGAAATTTCCAAAATGAAGATCCTTTGGATTAACAAATCATCTTTCAAAATGCAAGGATTTATTTTTAAGATGGATATCATAAGGCTAGAGATCTGACAGCCTTATTCTCCCTCCACCGAAAGAAGTAATTTAATTATATTTACTCCTTATATCTAGCTGAAATATTGAGCATTAAAGTGAGAGTTTAACTGGAGGAAGACAGCAAACCATTGCTCAAGAGACCAGAGCTAACTTAGAAATTTAACATGGTTAAAACAAACTTCCAATTTTTTACACTCCAATTCTGCTCCTTCCCATTTGCCTCTCTCAGTAAATTCCAAATTCTTCTGTACTTCCCATAAGTCACTAGCCACATACAGCTGTTGAGCATCTAAAATGTAGCTGTCAGAACTGTCACATACTGAAGTCTAAAATACATATCACATTCAAAGACTTAGTATGAAATAAGTGTCAAATAAATCAGTAATACATTTTTATATTGATTTCATGTTGAAATAATGGTTGAGATATATTGAGTAAAATAAAACATATTATTACAAATAACTTTTCCTTGCTTCTTGTTACTTTTCTTTAGATGGCTACTTCAATTTTTTTTTTAATTACCTATGCAGCTTACACTGTATTTCTATTGGACAGCATTTTTCTGATTGCTCAGACCCAAAACTTTGGAATAGTCTTTGCCTCTTACTTTTTCATCAGCAAACTCTGTAATTTCTACTTTCAAAATAAACCAAAAAAATTCATCAACTTCTCAACACCTTCATAGCTATTCCTTCTTACCCTAAACACACACACATATCACTATTATCTCTTACTTGAATAACCGAAAAATCTTCCTGACAGGTCTCCTTGCTTTCTTTGTTTGCATTCTACATTGAATATCCCCTATACAGTTGCAAGGATTCCTTTAAAATGCCAATCAGAGTACATTATTCCTCTGTTCAAAATAAGAAGTCCTGGTGGTGCTCTGGGTTAAGCATTGGGTTGTTTACTGCAAGGTTGGTGTTTCAAATTGTCTGTCTCCATAAAGATTTAAGTCTCAGAAACTCTAAAAAGCAGTTACTGTTGTTGTTCAGTGCTGTGGAGTTGGTTCCAACTCATAAGAACTCTGTACAGCGTCTTCGAAGAGCAGCTGGTGAGTTTGAACCACCGGCCTTGCGATTCAGTGCTTATCCTACAGCGACACACCTGGACCCCATAAAGTCACTAGTAGTCAGAATTGACTCCATGGCAGTGAGTTCTGCTCAAAATTCTCCATGGCTCCTTTTCATCCAGAATAAAAATCCATGTTGATGGTGTGGCCTACAAAGCCTTAAAGGTCTGGCCACCAGTCCCACTCCATCTGTCTCTCCTAATCTTTACTTCTGTCTTCATTCAACTCCATTGGCCTCCTTGAATTTGCCAGTTTGCTCACACGTCATGTCCTTTGTTCTGGCTGGATCTCTGCATGGTTTTCCTGTCTTTCCCTCAGTTTGGGCTCCCTGGCCAATTGACGAGTGAGTCCTTTCCAGATCCTTGTATTTAAAATTGCAACATTCCCTCTCTTGACTCTTTCACACTTCTCTGTTTCACTTCGTATAACTTTTTATTATCCGATATAATTGCTTTATTTTTTTCCTTGCTCCATAGCAGCAAGTTGAATTAGCTGTGGGTTCTCAAACTCAGTTTTGGGTCATTTGCAACTAGCCATTCTCAGAAACCTACCAAAACAAAAACAAGTATTCCAGTACCTTTTTGTTTTTAACTCGTTATCTTTCTTGTTGTTGTTAGTCCTCAAGTTGTTAGTTCCCATAAAGATTTACAGCCTCAAACCCTATACAGGGTCACTAAAAGTCAGAACCGACCCCATAGCACACTACCAACAGCTCTGAAAGTCATCACATTCTAAATTCCTTTATGTTGTTGTTGTTGTTATGTGCCGTGGAGTCGGTTCGACTCATAGCGACCCTGTACAGGGTTTTCGAGGCTGTAAATCTTTACGGGAGCAGAAAGCCTCATCTTTCTCCCGCGGAACAGCTGGTAGTTTCAAACTTCCTGGATAGAGTGGGTGAAAATGTGGAACAAAACTCAAAATCTAGGTGCTGTAGGTACAGTGGGAAGCACAGGGCAAACTTGAAGCAAGAGCTGTTGTCACACAGGAGGTTCAGCATACAACCAGCAGTGTGTTAAGATAGACAATGGTGAGCAGTGACCCTTCGACTTTAGTTGGTGGTCAAGGAGAGCTTCCCAAGGTAGAGATGTCCTGTGGAAGCGAGAATAGGTTGTGGAACTATAATCTCAAGAATAGGAAGTGGGCCAGATGACGCATACAGAGGTAAAACCGAGGGGGGAGGAGTCAGATTTGAAATGACCTCATCTCTTGACTTCATCTTAAATGAACCAGGAAGCCAAAGGGGAAAGCTTTGAACCAATTATTATAAAATATATATTTTTGGATACCAAAAAAAAAAAAAAACCAGCAGACAGAAAAAAACTGTCATAAATGCACACATGAAAAATGTGTACATGATAAAATGTGTATACGTGTGAGCAGTTTTCACAGAACCATGTAAAAGCCTGAGATGATGGGCAAGTGACGTACAGTAAAGGCTAATAAAGACTTAGGTAGTCCCCTTATTTAAAAAAAGAGCAATGAAGGCTCTCTAAACTTGAGCTGGGAATGTAAAAAACAAAAGCACACACACAAAACAAATGATAGAAAAGAAACCTAAAGCTAGGTTGCCGGAGTTCCACCACTTGGTCCTTCCCACAAAACCACCCTGCACTGCGCAGCTCAACGTGGCCCTTCCACCGCAAGATTTTAATGTGCGCCTGGGAGAAAGTAAGCTGGCAAAGCGGAATGCAACCCCACCACCATGGCTTCTTTGAGGCAAAGGAACCGTAAGCTCCGAAGTCGCCCAGACCCTAACTCTGCTGGCCAGAGACTCAGTGGCGACTTCACTCTCGCGAGACTGGCGCTTGGGGCGAGAGAGTCCAAGGCCTCCCGGAAGTGGGCGAGGGGACGTGACCGCTCCCACCCCGGGCGTGTGCGCGCGCGGCCCCGTGGGTTCGAGCGTACCCAGTGGGACTCTGGAGAGGCGGGGCCGCGGAGAAGCGCCCTGCCGCACACACCCCCGCCTTGTCCAGCGGCCTGCTCCTCCCCGGCTTGGCTGTCACCGCCCCTCCCTTTGCCCTTCACGGCGCCCGCTCTTCCCCAGCCTAGGGCTGCTGTCAGCCGTTGGGCAGCCTGTTTTTCCCCTTTTGCTTTCCTTCCCCTCTTCAGCCCTTGCTGCTAGCAGTAGTGTCGCGGGCCCAGCAGTGTCCCAGAAGCCGCACGTATAACTTGTTCCGTGTAAGTGTTAGGAATGCCGCTGGCCTCTCGGGTAAATGCTTTCTTTCTATCTATAGCTGTTTGTGCATCCTATGTCTGCGATAGCTATTCCAGGAGCGATAGCTATTCCAGGAGCGACAGCTGTTTCCCTCTGTTCTCATCTTCCCATTGGTGGCTTCCAACCCGAATTTGGGAATGGGAGATCGCCCACCTGTTATCTTTGGGCACACTAATCTCTGGTAGCAGGCGTGCCATTTGGACTCCTCAGAGCTGTTTGGATTGGGGTTGGGAATTTTTCCACCCAACTCCAGGCTTTCCTAAACTTACTGCTTTTTCAAGAATTCTTTAGTGGTTGTTTGTTTTTTAAAATTTATTTTCAGAATCTATAAATCAGTATTTTTGCTTCGATCTTACTCATTTGTGCTGGAAGGGAAGAAACGACTATCAATTTTGTTGTTCCTGCTATTATAAGATTAATTATTTCTCATTGTTCTTATAGGGTTAAAATAATCTAGAACATGTAAGTGTAGCTGCGTGCACTGAGGAGTTTAAGGTAATAGTTGTCTTTTATCCTAATTCCTTTTTGTTTCACAGGGATAATTCATTCGATTTTGGAGTTCTTTTGTTTCTTCTGAAAGATTTCAACTCCTCCAACAGCCAAAATGGGACACAGTAAACAGATTCGAATTTTACTTCTAAACGAAATGGAAAAGCTGGAAAAGACACTCTTCAGACTTGAACAAGGTCAGTAGCCAATTGTTTAATTAGCTTGTTTTGTGTCTTTTACATTTTTAATTCATTGATGCATTATTTTTTTAAATTCTTATATATATAAATATAATTTTCAAAGACTTTTTAAAAACTTAATTAGTGCAAAGACTGCACTATTCTAAACACATCGCTAATGACAGTTAACTTTAGTTGAAAATATGTTGTAGCTGTCATTTTAGAGCAAGGATAAAATAATCGTTTTCTTTGCAGGCTTAAGACAGAAGAAATTACGTATATAGTTAGGACATTGATTGTATTTCTAATAAGCATTTATTATTATTAAAATGTCGTAAAGTACTTCATAATTTTGTTTTGGGTATAGCTGTAGTTTGACATTTTATAGCTCATACTTTTACTCTACTGAACCCTTGGATTACTAAAATTGATCACAGAAAAAAGTACAGTGTTGTTGTTAAGTATCAGCAAGTCAGTTTCACTCCTAGTAAGTAACCCAGTATGAGGTTTCTGAGGTTGTAAATCTTTGTGAGAGCAGACAGTCTCATCTTTCTCTCACATAGCAGCTGGTGGTTAGCAGTCCAGTGTTTAGCCTACAGAGCCACAGCACTCCCATATAGATACTATTTTTTATGCATATTCAAAACTTTTGAATAAGAAAAAGGTAAAAGCTGAAAATGTTTTTTGGTCAAATAAAAAGTGGAATAACTGACTAGGTTTTATTGAAATATATTTGAACTGTAAATAGTCATATTTTTATAAGGCTAATTGTAAGGAGCTCTGGTTGCATAGTGGTTATGAGTTGGGCTTCTAAACTCAAGGTCAGCAGTTTGAAACTACCAGCTGTTCCATAGGAGAAAGAGGGAGTTTTTTGCTCCTATAAAGATTTATAGCCTCGGAAACCCTGTACAGGACCACTATGAGTCAGAACCGACTCCACAGCACATAGCCACAACTACCACAAGAATAATTAATTATATGAGAGCTTTATCTTCTTCTTAGACTTTATAAAGTTATTATTCAAGATTGAAAATTATTTCACTTATTTTGTGTCAATATAACTTACAATAGAAGTTTAATGTATGAAAATTTTTTAAAATCTAGTTCTTTGTGTTAGTGTACCAAATGGGCATCAATAGTACTATTTTTAAGGAATTGAAAAAAAAATTATCCCAGTATTCATATTTCAAGAGTTAAGTTTGGGGGGATGGGAATGTCAGCCATCAAATGTCATTTCTCCTTAACAAATCCCCATCATCCAACCTTGTTTTGCATTTAAGATCACCAAGTATGTACTCATTTTTGGCTTTTCTGACTCTGCATTTTTCTGGTTTTGAACACACCTGTCAAGTTAGTGTCTCTTATTGGGTTCTCTTCCTTCCACATTTTAATTAATTGCGGGTGAGAGTCCTTTCTTTTTCTGATCTCTTGTCCTCAATTAATTATACAGCTTCCTGGTCTCCTCTGTTGTCTCTGTGCTAATGACTCTTTGAAAGAAGGCCCTGGAGCTGCCAGTGCCTATGAGTATGGTGACAAGAGGAAGGTATCGAGTTTTGAAGACTTTGACTCCAGTTCTGGCTAACAAACTGTCTTTTGGAAAGGCACATTAATGCTTAGCAATAATTTGCATACTTGTGAAATGAGGGTAGTAATTTTCTCTTTGTCTAACTTACTTTTTGTTGAAAATCAAAATTTGTAATATGCTTTATAGTGATAAAAGGAGCCCTGGTGGCACAGTGTGGTAAACGATCAGCTGCTACCCTAAAGGTTGGTGGTTCAAAACCACAGTCTTAGAAACCATGTGATGCGGTTCCCCTCTATCCTGTAGGATCATAATGAGTCAGAATCAACTAGACAGCAATGAATTTGTGTTTGGGGGATTGTGGTAATATAACCTTAAATAAAAACCCCAAATCCAGACGCACAGCCATGGATCAAATTGATTCCCACTCATGACCCTGTATAGGGTTTCCAAGGCTGTAAATACTTATGCGAGCAGGAAGTCTCATCTTTCTCCCACAGAGCAGGTAGTGGGTTTGCACTTTCAGCCTTTCAGTTAGCAGTCCAATGCATATCCTACAGAAAAGCCCTAAATAGATCACTCTATATGTCTAATCTAGCCTGGATTCCAGATTTTATACCAGTATTATATAATAAGATATCTACACTTGTTTTTGTTGTAAAGTGCCATTTAGTCAGTTCTGACTCAAAGTGACCCTGTATAGAGTTTCCAAGGAGCGGTTGATGGGTTTGAACTGCCAACCATGCAATTAGAAGTCCAGTGATTAGCCCTATATTTCTTTGTAAATATCTCTGCTTGCCTGTCTTTTCCATAGCATCTTCCTTCCTGATGCTAGAAATATTTTCTTATACAGCCCTTTTTCTTTTTATTAACTGCTGTCTACAATGCCAGAGTCCTGGTTTGGTCTTGTGGGTTAATGTGTTGGACTGCAAGATCGTTTGAATCGCTGCATCAGCGGTTCAAACTCACAAGTCACTCCTTGGGAACCTTATATATAGGGTCACTATGGGGCAGAACTGATTCTACAGCACTTAACAACAATGCTAGTTAAGCTCTGGTGGCATGTTGAGTCTGCTAATTATAAGATCAGCAGTTCAAATACAACAGCCATTCCTCAGGAGAAAGATGAGGCTCTCTGCTCCCTTAAAGATTTATAGTCTTGGAAACCCTATGGAGCAGTTCGGTTCTTTCTTATGGGGTTGTTGTTGTGTGCCATTGAGTAAGTTCTAACTCATAGAGACCCTGTATTAGGTTCCCATGGTGGGTTTGAACTATCAATCTTGTGATTAGCAAACAAGTACTTATCCTACAGTACCACACCAAGATGTTGTTGTTGTTAGGTGCCATTGAGTCAATTCTGACTTGTAGCAACCCTATGTACAACAGAATAAACACTGACTAGTCCTGCTTCATCCTCACAATCATTATTGTACTTGAGCCAACTGCTGCTACGACTGCCAATTCATCTTGTTGGGAGGGAGTCGTCTTCTTTTTTTGCGGACCCTTTACTTTACCAAGCATAATGTCTTTCTCCAAGGTCTGCTTTCTCCTGATAATGTGTACAAAATATGAGAGAAAAAGTCTTATCATCCTGCCTTCTAAGGCGCATTCTGGCTGTACTTCTTCCAACACAGATTTGTTTGTTCTCTGGCAGCCCATAGTACTTGCAGTATTCTCCAACACCATAAATCATCTATATTATTCATTGTCTATCTTTTACATGCATATGAGGCTATTGAAAGTGCCATGACTTGGGTCAGTCACACCTTAGTTCTCAAACTGGTATGTTTGCTTTTGGACACTTTAAAGAGGTCCTATGCAGCAGATTTGCCTACTGCAATACATCATTTGATTTCTTTTTTTTTTTTTAACCTTGAATTTCTTTTTGAGTTTTAAAAATCATCTTGAGTTCAAATTTCTAAAGATGTAAATCTGAGGGAGCTTCAAAAAGTTTGTGGAAAAATTCCTTTATCTTTTGAGTCTATTCTTCCACAAATTTTTTAAGCCCCCTCATATATTTTTGAGGGGTCTAATAACAGAAGAAGAGCAATACACACAGTAGAGGGATTTAACATAATGAGTGGAAAAGGAGCTGGGGGCCAGGCATTCCTATTAAGTCAGTTGTTCTGTGTCTACACGTCTACAGCGTCTCAAGCGTCCAAAGTTTCAAGCAGCTTAAATGAGAGGCTGAACATGATGACTGTTCCTAATTTTTACTGTTTAACCATTTTTCTTGATCTGGCACTAATTCCATACACTCCCAATTGTTCTATGAATTTATAACAAATTTCCAAGACGAAGGGAAATCTGTTGTTCATTGTTTGTCTGAAATCTTGACTTGTGTTTATTTTATTAAATGAAAAGTAAGCTTCTAAAATACTCAAGAAGTTCAGCTGCTAAAGTTCCTTTAAAGATCTTCTTTGCTAGTGGTTCCATAGTATGGGCCATCCTGACCCAGGCACATGCATATCTGTCATTTAATTTCTTTGATTGCTGCTTCTGTGAGTATTGATTGTGTATTCAAGCAAAATGCAGTCTTTGACAACTTCAGTCTTTTCTCTGTGTATCATGATTTTTTTTGGTCCACTTGTGAGGATTTTTCCTGATAAAAATGCAATCCCTCTGCCTGACTTTGAAGACATTCTATAATGGGACTCTTACCTTTGGCAGGCAAGATTGTATCATACTGTTTCCCATCATTAGAGTCCTACATTCATACAGTCCTCCTTTCCTTCCCTGCTCGCTCCTTCCACAATGACTTTTCTCTTGTCCATCCTGACACCCTAGTCCCTGCCAGATTTCTGTATTTCATATTTCCATTAGCTCTCTTTCACTCTTTTACTGTGTGTTGCCTTTGTTCCAGGTTTTTTAAAAAAAAACTGGGGTATCATTGATTCTGTAATACTAGTTAAAACTAGTAATTTCATCTAGATACTATAAATCGAAATATAAATAGTGTGACGCTATAGGATAAGCACTGAACTGCAAGGTCAACAGTTCAAACCCACCAGGTGCTCCTTGGAAAACCTATACAGGGGTCCCTATGAGTTGAAACTGACTGAATGGCACTTAGCAACAACGATGATGCAATTCTATCATTATTAGAAGATAATTTGTAAAGTGAAAGATGAATTGATGAAAAGGAACCTTGGAGACAGAAATTATGACTTTAAAAAACAAGAAGTCAGATTAAAGATAAAGGTTGGACTACATCCAAGTTGAAAAAGAGGGTGCAGAGTATGAGACATTTCAGAATTACTAGGACTTGGTAACCAATTCAATTTGAAGAAAAAGTTGGGATTATACTTAACTGATTATCAAGTCCTTCTTCGTTCTTCTTTCGTTTTCTTTTTAAGATCGAATGCTACTCACTTTCAAAACTAACATGTCTATGTTTTTTGTTAGTTGCTGTAGAGTCGATTCTAATTAATTGTGCAGAGTAGAATTCTCCATTGGGTTGTCTTTTTTTCTGAGGTACCTCTGGGTAGTTCAAACT